TATAAACCACTATTTGAAAAGAGACACCATGAGGCTTTTGTGTATCACACGTTTACTTGGGTTTGTACAATCATAACCAGGAAAGAACAAAATATAGTAAGTTCAAAAGCACTCTTAACAAAATTAAATATATTAAAAGATCTGAGGAGGAATGGTGGTAGAAAATGAATACAATCATCTATTTAGAAGTTCAATAGAGACTTTTCTTCTTAGAAGACTTCAGAATATTGATCATTGTGCCAGGATCTGGTCAGCATATTAAATCAAATGTGGGTTGGGAGTGTTTGGCATGTATGAGTCTAGATAAAGTATTTACTGCTGGCATCTGTTATCACTTTCATAGTTTGGGTGTGTTTGAGCATCCAGAGCAGGCTTGGGTGGGCTCAGCCAGCTTGTGCATCAAAAGCACAATACCTCTTTGTTAAGTGGCTGTTTATACACTTATCAGTCAGCTAGTGTCTTGTGCCAATTAATCACACTACTCCCTAGAAAAGTTTATGTTTAAAATTTCACTCATAGCCAAAGCCTAAAAGGGATAAACATTACAGAAAAATGACCAAATCTAACTCTCTGCCTCAAAAAAATATTAAGAATGCTTTATTAACAGTAAATTTGTTATTAACTGTACATTTTTCAATGCAGACATGTGAAAGAGAAATATGGGAAATGCTACTTTATATATGCTCCCTATTATTGAATTGTTTACTATAAATAAAAACTTAGGTAAGTAAAAAAGTAATGTTAAAAATAACACTTATCTAACAACACAAAATAAAAGTCAGATTTTGAGTCTTGTTATAAATCACAATTTGAGGATCTTATTCAAAAGCATATCTAAAATTAGCTGCATCAAAATTCCATAGTAAACTGAAAGTACAGACTTGAACATAAATCAGGATGAACTAAAATACACATGCTATTGTAGTGACAGGCAAATTTTAGATTACTAAATGCTTTTCCAAGACATGACATTTATCAAATAACTGTCTTATATAAGTCTGAAAAAACTAAACAACAAAATAGTTGCATCAAATATAATTTTTTAACCAGCAATAACTGGCATTCAAGTAAAAACAGCTCAGGGAGAACAACTTACAGAATATTAAGCACTCATATCACAGCATGGGAAAAAAAAAAGAATTCCATCCTGGAATAGAAAAACTGTTGTGTCTAGGTAATAAACACTAAACTACCAGAATCAGCACAAAAAGAAAAAATAAACTAAACAGTATAAAACCAGTCATTTTAAAAGTATTATTCTGATTTTGAATTTTAACCTTTCCTCTTTCTGTGTTGCAATCTAGATCAGCCATTTCAATGTTACGGGTTTTTCTCACACTTTCTAGAAGACTACTATGTGCTGAGCACAGTACTGGCAGAAAACATCTTGAGTCCTGACTGTGTGATTGTTCTTCATCAGGCCAAGTGAAGATAACAATTTTAACCAAACAGAATCAGAGTTGGGCAGGCTGAACTGTACAAGCCATTCACTGTACCCACCAAAGAGAGATATTAAATCCAGTGTCCACTTTAGTGGTTAGCATGAGTAGCTCCATGACTCAGAGGTGCAAAGTGGCCAAGTCCCAGAGTAGAGTCAGACTCAAGAAAAGGGAGACCCTGGTTTAAAATGCGGGTCTTGCTCTTACTGTGTGACCCAGAGGAAAGTACCTAGTTCATCTAGGTCTCACTGTTCCCACCTGCAAATGGGAGCAACAACATCTACAGCACCTCATTTTTGTAAATAAATGAGATAACATATACAAAGTCATATGCTCCATATGCTCCATATGCTGCCATATGCTCCAAGTCCTGGTTTTATACCTTGACAAAAAAGCATAATCAGATATCATATCATCTTTCTTTTAAAAAAGAAAATTAAAAAGATACATGATATTGGGATAGATTCACTAGGTCCCAATATGCATCCGTTCCCAATACTCAAGGGGGAAAAAAGTGTAGCCACACCCTTTAATAGGTTACTCAATTCAATTCAGCTCAATGTTAGAGGGTAGAAAAGAGAAAAAAGACTACACATTCTTCCTACCTTCATTGATTCACAACCTAAAAGAGCTTCACACCAAGTCATGGGCGGTGCTGAAATCCAAAGAGTTCTTAAAATACATTTTTTAAAGTGTTGCACTATATAAATTTGGTGGCAAAATCAGTCCTGAATTTGAACTGGCTAGATGCTTTATAGTTACTACTCCTGCACTAAATGTAAACATTTCTGCATTTCAAGTCTCATTATGTGGCAAGGTCCCAAATCCCACTGATGATGTGGCACAATATGTGGTGGAATGCAGTAGCTTTGGAAAATATAAAGTATTCCAAGTTCCAAAACACACGTAGCCCCAGGATTTAATAGAAGGAAATCTGAACAATTTCTACTTAAGGAATCAAAGGGAGACAAGCGGTATAAAAAGGTAAACCACCTGAGGTGGAAAGCTGTGTTGAAGAATGTATTTTCTATCCTTCTTAAGTCAGAATTTGCTTAGAACCCTTGGATGTGCTATTACATGGAAACAATAACACTACTTACATTACCGTGTTCTTGGAAAAGCAAGTAGAAATACACATGAAATGCTTTAAACAATGATTGTCACAAAGTAAATACCAATAAATGCCATGTGGTGGAAGTGCCTAAAAAATACTTTGAACACACTGTAGAAAAAGGCAAACAGGTAAATATACTGTTTAGACAGTTAGCTGGCTATATACCATATTATATTTTGGAACTTCAGTTTTAAAAATCCAAGAATTTTCTTTTTCCTCTGCCCAGTGGAACTTCTACCGTCAGACCTCAGAGGCAGTATTAGTGCAAGTCCACGGAGGCAGGTAGCAATCACAGTTGAACAAAGAAGCATCTGGAGCTGACAGAACATACTAAGATGTCAAGCTCTCAATGTAAAATATACTATTTGGAAAGAAATAAACTATGAAGAGCAACCTGGAGGGATGCTTCCAGAATTCAATGTACAAACTAATCAGAGTTTTTGTTAACATGCAGATTCTAACTTAGTGTGTTGGGGCCAGATGTTCCACAGTCCAGTTCTCGGGTCATCAGAACACTGCCGGCCCACACTGAGGGTAGGAGGGCCCCAGAGCGGCGATCCTCAAAGTGCACAAGTGACACCAGACCCTGTTGGGGAATGAGTAGAAATGCACACCCTAGAGCATAAGGAGACATTGGGAGACTGTTGGTCTAAATCAGACTTTCCCTGAGAGTAAAAGTAGAATACTTCTCTAAAATACCTCAAAAATAAACGGAGTATAGTAGGTCATGTTACCTAAATAAGAAAACCAATTTCTTTCTGCAAAAAATTTCCAAAATTATAGCTCCTGCAATTACACTTACCTTGTAGGCTTTTACATGCTAAGAAGCCTGCTCTGCTAATGTATAAGCAGAAGTGTGTAAAATTCCCAGTTGAACCACTCACTAAACTAACTATTCACAAAACAGATCGTTTCCATTTGACCTAGGTAACAGAAATATGACTTTGTAGAAAGCAAACTGAGTTTTTTATTTTCTTGTGTTAAGAATATAACTCAACCACATCATGGTTTAGTCAACTTCTCCAGAGTAATGTTTATACATCTCCTGGTTCATATGTAAATATGTCAACATTTTGATTTATAGCTATAGGTGATCTGTTTACACACACTGATACACAGACACAAATTACATTAATGGTCTGAAACACAGTATTCTTAAGGGACAAAAACTTGAGGCTAAACTATAAATATAGAAGGTCATGACCAGAGAAAAATTTTCATTTTCTGAATATGAAGCCAATTGATTGTTAAACAGCTGGTTTCCCCAAAATGTTATAATAACCTGATGCATTCAGAATTAAGATTCAGGGGTTTGGTTTTTTTTTTTTTTCAACTTCAAAGTTTGAATTTATAAGTTCATCTCCCAACCAAGCTTACAAGTTCACCTCTCAAAAACTGAGCACACAGTTCAGTCCTTAACCTGTTTTTGAAAGAGTCAGTTACTAACCTTGTGAAGCACAACACCTGCTTCAGGATTGGGGGAGGGCCCTCTGATTTCTGCTAGGACCATATCTTTAAAAGAGTGCTGCTGTCAGAAGACATCTCTGATGCCCACACCACAGGGAGGGCAGGGAGGGAATGTGCTTCTGTAACCTAGTGAGCAGAGGCCAGGCAAGCATGCAGCTCAACAACCCCATTCAGGAAACACAGCCCTCAACCAGGAATTACTCAGCCAAAAATGCCACTAATGTCAAGGTGAAGAAAGCTTGACTGAAGCCACGGAGGCTGCAAAATCACAGAATGAATGTCCTGTGTGTGTGTCACCATTACATTCCTAGCACCATGGGAAGCACAGCAATAAATAATTGTTGACTAGCAAATAAACTTCCTCTGTGTAACAGGGACCTTACAGTCATAGAGATGAAAAGGAATGAGAAAGGCATTACTACATGTGTAATATCTAAAATTACAAAACAAAATTAGTCATTGTCAAAACCAGGAGGAAAGATGAGGACAACTGTAATTGAACAACAATAAAAGTTTTTTTTAAAAGAAAACAAAAAAAACACCATTCAGTCCAATTTCCATATTTTGGGAAAAAACTGTTTCCTACAAAAGATGTTATCTAATGTATTGCTTTTACAGTGATGGGAGTATCAGTTCTCTTACTAGTAAAAGTAAAACATAAAATCTTTATAGATATATTAAAATATCAGTTCTTACTTCTAATAGTGCCAATGTCCCATACTTTTTTCAAATTAATAAAGCATTTCCTTTATAAAAAGTAAAAAAAAACAATATGACATAAGTCATACATAATAAGTGATATTCCACAGGCGGGAAACAAAACAAAATGTAATTATTTTTCAAAAAAGCAAATCACAGACTTCCACGGCCTGCAGGCATTTATACTTCTGAGAATTTGGAGATCTAAAATGTCATGAGAAATCCTGAACTGGCTTACATTTTTGAAACACAGGAACTGAGAGTCACAAGGCCAAACATACCCTTAATAATCGATTCAGCTGCATACAAATCGCGTTTGTAGGTCACCTAAAGGACAGATAAACCTCATTAGACTTAACAGAGCAGGAAGGAATGTGAAAGCAATAAAATTATGCCCCCAAGGAAATTCTTGATTTTGGAGAAACTATAAACACATTAATACTGACAATTTCTAAATTACGACATCAGCAAATTCAGAATAATGTATTCTATTTCTATGAATGGTTGAAGTTTTTTTAATCTTTAAATAAATAGACATACTATATGGAAGTGTTTACCAAAATCTGATTAATGTAATTGAAGTATTATGTCAAAGAATATGTGGTTGTATTTAAATAAAGGTTTTAGCATTATTGTTTAACAGTAAGTAAGGCCTTACTTTGAAAAGAAAAAAAGGTAAGTGTACATTACCAAATTGCATTTTTAGTTGAAATGAGGAAATTCTCAAAAATCAATTCACAGTATGAAGGGAGTTCCTTCTGAATTGAGTATAACTGTATATACCCAAGTAAGGTTCACCTTGTAAGGATTTTATGGCTCTGATAAAAAGAGCATGGAAGACACCACCATAAGAACAATCACAATCTTTCCTTACAAACACACAGCCTCCTTGCAATTATAACCTGCTGTTTGTAATGTAACAGAACCTGGTCCTATGGGACATACTTCCCAGGCCACATCCAGTGAGCTTAGGCATAGAACATGTCAGGTGCATTGCATTGCAGAATTATTTCTCCCATCTCACAGAACTGAAAACGCAGTAAATAATGAACTGTACTAATAACACCAAGGTCTTAGGAACTCATCAATCAAGTGCCCAGATGATTCTGATGCTAATGGTCTAAAAAATCCACTTTGAAAAGTAGTCATCAAATTAGTACCTGTCTATGCCTACAATTCAAACTTTTCTCCTCCAAATTATCTCATATCTAGGCATACAGAAATTTTGTTCAGCTCAAGTGGCTCAGGACATTTCTACCCAAAATAGATTCCTGTGTTGTGTCTTTATCATAGCAGGAAAATCCTAGTCCAAAACTACAGTCCAGAATTAAAGGAGCAGTTAGCCCTGGCTGGTGTGGCTCAGTGGATTGAATGCCAACCTGGGAACCAATGGGTCACTGGTTCAATTCTCAGACAGGGCACATGCCTGGGTTACAGGCCAGGTCCCCAGTTGCAGGGGGGTGGGGCGGGGGGGCGGCGCATGATAGGCAACCACACATTGACGTTTCTCTCCCTTTCCTTCTCCCTCCCTTCCCTTCTCTCTAAAAATAAATAAATAAAATCTTTTAAAAAATAAAATAGCAGTTAATTTGTAAGACAGATGACAAGTTGTTCAAGCACTCAACTAATCTATTTAAATGAAATGTGACACAGCTACATTATCTCTAAAACAAGCACATGTCCAACCGAAACTAGTACTGTATACAGTAGTTACTGATCCAAAGTGTAATTCTATTATCTGGGGAAAATATCAGTAGAAAACATACATTTAAAGGTTCATGGTATGCATTTTACCAAATTAAAGAATGTATAGATCTCATTCATTCATTCAAAAAATATTTATCAAATAACTACTGTGTTCTAAGTCCTGTTCCAAGTGCTGGCAATAGAGCAATCAAAAGAAGGAGGAAAGCTTCACTTGTAACAACTGCATTTTAATGGAGAAATTTTTCTTATAAGAATTAAATAAGTAACAATGTTTGCAATTTAAATGAGTAAATGCTTTTCTTCTATAACTTTCTGCTGTGTAGAGTAAACTCAGAAATTAATGGGAACATAGTTAATTACCATTATTCATTTTTCATCCCTTCCTGCTTTTGTTGTGGGATTAACACTGCATTCCAATTTAAAATAGAATTGTGAAGGTACCTTTTTTTTTCAAATAAACATTAATGATGGGTTTTTAAATTTAAAGAAAACTTGCTTTCAAAAAATAAAATGTTTTTCTAGCATACTTGCAAGACAACATTTTTATACTGGAGTCAGTCTTATGAATAAAATACATGTTTTTATTACCCAAAGTTCCTTTCTTAACTGTATAAGCAAGAAAGACTCCTCAATTTCCTTTTCTGTCTACTTTTTCCTGTAGGCTGTAGACACCTACTGATATTCTGATTAAAGACTTTGTACTTTATTAATATCTTCAGTATAAAGCTTTATTGAATATCTCCACTATACATCTTAAGCACTCTATCCTCCTAAACATTGAATTAATGAAACTAAACTACAAAATATTTCTGACAAACTTGTAAAGTACTGTGTTTAAAACAGCCTTATTTTTGTCCAAATAAAATATCTAACATACATCAAAGGGGAAAGCACCAAGAAATGTAGTTCTCCACTGATGAATTATTCTCTTCCTGCCAAACTCTTACAGTAATATGGGTTTCCCTTTCCTTATTTTTAATTTCAAAACACTTTAATAATCAGTTTTGAAGTTGATCCTCTTCTGTCAGCATGTTCTACAGTTTCTCTTTGTCTTTATACAATAGAATTTTAAAAAAAAATCAGCCCTGAAGTGATGGAAGAGAGCCTCAGTCCTCTGATTTACTCGTTCTCACACTGCGTCCATTAGGGTCTCAGGGGCCACCTGCAGACCAGGGAGGTGCTCTGAGCAGCAGAGACCCTGAGCCCCACGTAGTGAAGCTCAGTGGTTGTCTGCATTGTCCCACTGTGCTTCGGTGCAATATTTCATCAGAGTAAAATGGTTAGCTAACATACGTATTTTTTTTAATGAAGAAAAACCCTAAACCAAGAGCCACAGATATAGTTTTCTTCCAACTCCTTAGGCCAGAGCTATCTCAGCTACCTCAAGATGAGCACCAAAAAACACAAAAATTGTTCCTCCTTCTTTGCGTTGCTCCATCTGTGTTGACGCTCAGTATCATAAATTAGACTTTTTAGAGCCAAATCTAGTTGGCTACCATCTTACATGAGTTAGCTGACGCTACATTCAATGTTCTCCTGTCTTTCATCTAATGAGAAAACAAGCATAGAACCACAATAATTAGGAGCCAGAAAATCTTAAATTTTAAATATATGGAATGTTTATTAGATACAAATTTAGATCGGATGGTATTTATTACATTTATTTCCATTTCATTGATTGCATCTATGGTGAAAATACTGGGTAACTAGATGAAAACTTCTAAAGAAAAATGATGCCGCCACAGTGTATGTATGAGGTTAAAGAAAAAAGGCCAAAAGTGAGAGACTGTTGTGTTTCTTTTGTTCTCAACAAAGATGTTGTAACACTTGGACCTTTAAAAAAAAAGTAGTTCATATCAAAAGGAATCGTCAAAAGTCATCCATTCTAGTAATATTGTGATGACTTGAACACTTCAGAAACTCTTTCTAAAGAAATATTTTCAGATGATGGGACAGAGTTAAATCTCTTAAATAACTGGCTATAAATCTTTCCTAAATCTGTCAAGCCTTGGGGATGATTTTAGCCGTTAGAAACAAGATGTGTGTTCAATTAGGTCTGTATGGTGTAGTAAGGGACCAAATAGTTAATTATATTGGCACCAAAACCATGGTATAATTATAAAGAAATAAACGGTCTTCTGTAGGCTAGCTGAGAGCTCACTGAAGTGAGTACGTGTTCACTCTGGCCTGGCAAGGCACCGCCACTCAGAAAGCATGAGAGCTGGTAGCTGCTCCTGGGCGTCAACCCTATACTCCTCTGCACTTGGCTGCTCTCTGGGGAGGCGGTTGGTCGTGCATGGAGATGCCCTCTACTCGGCATGGTCATCTGAACAAACTGAGGCCCTGCAGTGCCTGCTGTAAGAGGGCTGGCATCGACTCTGAATGTTTACTTTTTTCCTCTACGTGTATAAAAAAAAGTACGTAAAATACAAAACAATAACCCTCCTGAGATTTCTGGTGTCAGTTAGAATACCAGTCCTGGTCAGTCCTCACACCACCTGGCATGAACACCCTGACTTTGGAGAGGCAGGGGAAGGTGCCCTGGCTCTGGCCTTCCGAATCTTCCCTTGCCTTGCTGCTTCATGGCACTGACATGCCACCTGAAATGCGTTTTTCACTGTGTCAGATTTCTGAATCATGTTCCAGGTAGAGTACTTGGCATTGCCAGCTGAGTCCAGTACCAGTTTTAGACTAATTATACGAAATCTGCCCTCAAATCTAAGTTTAAAAAAAATGGTAGCACCTTTGGAATTGTTATAAAATTAGAACACTAAAGTCAAAGTGTGGATTCCATTGCTTTGGTTTAAAAGCAACTGAAATAATCTTTATCCACACAAAATAGCAAGACCACAAAATTAATTAAATTAGAAGCCTATACAAAAGACAACTCATACAATGCCATGACAAGAGGCTAAATGGGGCTTGATAAATAACTAGGAAAATATCAAAAAGATAAAAGTGGAAAATAATGAAAGACAGGAGACAGGTTGGAATAGGGAACCAGAAACAACTGCAATACTTATACTCAAAGTAATTTCATCTCACTTAACAGAATAAATGCGGTACCTAAAAAAGGCCTCATAACTGTCATGTGATTGGCATTTTGCCCAATCCATCACATTACATGCCCCTTTAGAATCCAAGATCCTGTTAAGATACATCATTACGCACATCATTCATAAGAGGGGGGCTTCCCTCCCTCCCTCCCTGTTTGGAAAGTGGTACTAGGAAGACGATTACTCTGGGCCTATGAGTGTGTCACCCATTGGCATGCACACGAGTTTCTTAGGGCTTTATGATAAGCCCAAACTGAGAGGCTTACAGCAACAGAAATGCCTTGTCTCACAACACTGGGTGACAACCGTGCAGATATTCTTCCAACCCAGTCAGGTTGGGGCTCGCACCCAGGGCTACTGTGCAGAGCAGAGCTCCCTCCTCAAACCCAGCTGAGAGTAAGGCAACAGAGGAAAAGGATACATACAGAGAACAAGAAAAAATGTGAATGAAACAATCTTACTGGCTAAATGGAATTTGTTTGAATAAATTATGACAAAGTGAATTTTCTTCTGACCAAGCTATAGAAATGATACCATACTTTAATAGCTCAGAAAACCCAGTGGGACTCTTAATTCCTGTAATATATGCAGACACAGACACAGACACACACACACACACCTTTTCTCCCAGAAAAATTCAGTATGAAACCAAGTATTTTTATGCTACTTCTCCATTTCCGAAAGCCCTGGAAAGTGTTTGTACTTGCACCATATGTCCTTAAGAATAACATAAGCATGAACAAGACCCAGAACAATGTACCAGCTCCATTACCTTCCAGAGATCAGGTGATCCTTCCACAAGTTTGGCTTTAACATGACAATATTTTAGAGCCAACTGCAAACACTCAGTTCCAAATTCCAGGTCGTAGTCACTACACTGAGTAATAACAGAAAAAGAGTTAACAAGTTAAAATATAATTTTAAATGAAACTATGCATTATCAATTGCACTGAGAAAAGAAAGAGCCCAGAGAACTCCCAAGCTCTTTAATTAACTACTGATTATTCAAGTTTCAGAATAATTTTCCCCATGCCCTAAAAGCCAGTAGAAAACAGGAATGCTGCAATTATAAAAGTCTCAAACTTCCTCCATCGTTTTGGGTGTCAGATAAACATAATACTTAATTTCCTTTACTCATAAGCTTCCTTCCCAAACATGTTTCTAAAATGCCTGAAGGGATGTCTAAGGATTACCATATTATAATTTGATTAACAAAATATATATATTCATAAAACTTCAAATCCCCTACCTTGTATTTATGCCAATTTACATTTATAGTCATAACTTTATTATTCACCTTAATATTTTAAATATCAACATACCCTTTTTAAAAGATTTATATTTTGATTCTAAAACTGGACACAGTTTTGTAAAGGTCTCTCATAGATTTAGTATAATATAAACACCATGTTTAAGCTTATTAAGCAGAACCATTAAAATGACCAACAAAATACAAATCAGCTGAATGATACTGAGTGCCTGTTATGTCCAAGCTTTATATTAAGTGCCAGCATGTAAATATAAATGAGACATATATTGTGTCTTCAAGGAACTCAAGTCTAGAAGGGGGGCTGATTTATAACAAATATTTTGGAGCACGGTGTGATAGATGCAGCACCAGAGGAACATCCAGAAGCAGGCCAGGGGATAAAACACAGAACGCTCTGGGAGGACTTCAGGGAAGGCCTGGCAGAGGAAATGGTCTCTGATCTCATTTTAAAGATTGAATAAGACTGGAGAAAACGAATACCTTTAAGGCAAAAGGCACCAAACAAATGATACAGAGGTTTCAGATCTGCATTTTATTTTTTTAAAGGTTTTATTTATTTATTTTTAGAGAGACAGGACAGGAAGGAGAAAGGGAGGGAGAGAAACATCAATGCGTGGTTGCCTCTTGCACAGCCCCTACTGGGGACCTGGCCGGCACCCTGGGAATCCAACCAGCAACTCTTTGGTTTGCAGGCCGGTGCTCAATCCACCGAGCCACACCAGCCAGGGCCAGATTTGCATTTTAGACAAGAGTATACTCATGTAACAAAGACAGCAAGAAGGCAGTAAATATAATTATAACATTCAGCATCCTTTGCCAATGCTATTTTATCATAAAGGAGGTTACAAAACTCTAACTGTAATTGTTCATAAAGTTAATGTACAAGGAAATATAACCATCAGATATACGTAGAGTCCCAAATTAACCAGAACGGTCTCAGTTTAAATGTTCTATTCTGTTGTACAATATAACATGACATGTTTCTTAGACATTTTCATTTCATTTCATTATCAGCAGTAGTTACATTCAAATAAGTTAAGACAAATTTTGGTAAACCCCTGCTTTGTACTTCCAGTGTCTGCACAGTCCCATCTACCCATATATGAGTGACATGTATGTACAATAGACAGAGTTTTCTCTTTAACCCATGGTAAAATCCCAAAGGGGACTAGCAGTGACGCTTTTCCTGACTCTCTCCAGAGGCAAGATACTGAATACATCTATCTGTGGACAGCCTTAAAAGTGCTCATAAAGCGCATCCTGGGAGGAGCTCATTGGAACGGCTGCCTCCTTTCCATCCCAGCTGGTGAGGGAAGAATATTACTTGATGCGGTGCTCCTGCCAGCCACGTGATGTACCAGCCAAGACGGCAACAGCCTATAAATTGCATAAAGTCTTTAGGATTCCAGTTGCCAGGGTCAGCGGGAAGCATGGAAAATTATGGGTCATGTATATACGAAATATAAATTGGAAATAGAGGCTAAGCAGTATTGGCAGAAAGGGTAGTCTGAACTTGTCATTCATGGTGTGGACTAATATTACAACTATTTATGGAATTTTTTGGTAATTTTTTGGCAATAAAACCTTGCTTTCACAGTGAGTTAAAAAAATGCATGCTTCCTGACAAATTAAATTCTGAACTTCTGTGTCTCAAGAACAGTGATGTTGGTTTCAACTTTTGTCTAGGATATGGGAAGTTGAAAAAAATTATGCTCATTTCTGAACAAAAGAAAAAGCAGATAAACTACATAAGCACCACTTTTTCTTGACCTCAGAGGCTGCAAGAAAATCAAGCAGCCTTAAATTTAAAAAAAGGCATCCCCTCCGCTCCCGCCCCACCAAGGAGAGGATGTGGTCACCAGCTCACATATGGCAGAACACAAAAGGAAATGACACTGGGTGCCATACAGGCAGGTGAGAAGAAATCAGCTAAAAAGTGGCTGCAAATGGCTAACTACTGAGTGGAGGCTACTAGGAGGATACAGACTACAGAACCTCCAGAGCCACAGTCCCACTGGAGTTTGTACCCACTTGCAGGCTCCCCTTCAGCACCAGACTACTGGGAGTTCATGAAGTGGCATAAAGGTGACTTGTGAGTAGATGTGTATTCTAAACTCAAAGCAATCACTAACAGACATTTTTAAGTTAAAAACAAGATGTCAATAGTGATAAGATGAAATCATAAAAACTAAGATATTAATACAAGGCAGACAGAAAAAAAGAGAAAAACAACAGATGGAACACATTGAAAATAACTAGCAAGATGACAGATTTTTATCAACAAAGGCCATGAATGTCAACATTTATTATCCAGCATGGGAGCTACAGTGATATAATTGATCACGTGAAACACAAATACAAACACACTCACACACAGTTGCTGAGAGAACTCTATGCCTCCTTGAACTTGAAGCATGTTTTCCCCAGGCAGAAGTACTGAGGGCACGATTGTCAGAGGTCCCCAAACACACAGTCCCTCCTAGTCATGTCACAGTGAAGCTCGTAGCCAATGAGCTGCACCTTCGAATGCAGCAAGTCCAGCGGGTCTTCAACACACACACGAGCAGAAAGCCCAGACTTCACTGCAACCCAAGGAAAAGCTCAAACATGAAGTATAAGTTAAAAAGGCAAAGAATACTTTGGAGGAACTAGAAATTGTGCAGTTAAAAAAAAAGTCCAGAATGAAAAAGTATTCATACTCACAAAGTAAGACAGGATAATATTTAAGAGGGCATGAAGTTGAAATACGGGAGAGAAAAGAATAAATGATGACAACCACAAAGTCCAGTATGTTCAAAATAATAAGAAGAAAGAAAGAAAACAAAAGGGCAGCACAGAAAAGGGTAAGGCACGGAAACAACCGAATAATTTTTTTTAAACTGCAGTAATAAAGAACATGAAGTTTCCAAATTAAAAATTCTTTTGAAGTGAAGAAGTTAATAGAGGAAAGTACAATTAGCAGAAAAAACAAGAAGCCTTATAAAGAAGCAGAACACCGAACCAGTTGAAATTTCTTAATAGCGACAATAAAAATCAGAAAAATGATGAAATGGTTTCTTTATAATTTCAAAGGTCATTGTCAACATAAAACTATATACTCCCAGAAAAGCTATATATATCATTTTTGAGGATGGGATATGGATTATTACAAACATTGAAGATCTCAGCAGATTTTAAATTCCTGTAGGCTCATTTTTATTTTTAGTTTTTTAATGAACTTTGGGGATCAGTTTTAGGTTCACAGCATAATTGGGCAGAAGGTCCAGATATTTCCTTCATACTCCTACCCATACCTACTCACAGCCTGGCCCACTCTAAAAACCCTATGCCAGCGTGGTACATCTATTAAAATCAATGGACCTACACCAGCAAATCATTATCACCCAAAGCCCACAGTTTGCATTAGGGTTCACTCTTAGTGTTTCAGGTCCTATGGGTTGTCACAAATGTACAATGGTATGTATCTATCATTATGGTACCACACAGAACATTTTCACCGTCTAAAAATCCTGTGTTCTTATTCACCCTCCTCCTTGCCTCCAACCTTTGGCAACCATTGAATACTCGCCTATCTCCCTAGTTTTGCCATTTCCAGAAGTTATATACTTGAAATCATACAATAGCCTGTTCAACTTGGCTTCTTTTATTTAGCATAATGCATTTAAGGTTCCTGCATGTCTTTTGTGTCTTGATGAACCATATTTTAGCACTGGATAATACCCCATTTTCTGAATGTACCACAGTTCATGCATGCATTCACATACTGAAGGACACTTTGGTTGTTTCCAAGTTCTGGTAATTATGAAAAAAGCTAGTATGAACATTCATGTGTACATTTTTATGTGCCATAAATTTTCACTTACTTGGGCAAAATGTGAAGGAGTAAAATTGCTGGATCATACAATAAGAGTATGTTTACTTTTGTAAGAAACTGTCAAACTTTCTCCTCAAGTGGATGTACCATTTTGCTTTTCCACCAGCAATGAATGAGAGAGTACCTGTTACTTCACATCCTCACCAGCATTATGCGTTGGTGTTCTGGATTTTGGCCATTCTAATAGATGTGTAGGGATGCCTCATTTTTGTTATAACTTGCATTTTCCTAATAACCTATATGATGTGAACATCTTTCCAAATGCTGATTTGCCACCTGCATACCTTATTTGGTGCAGTGTCTGCTCAGGTCTTTTATCTTTTTATTGAAATTGTTCATTTTTTTATTATTGAGTTCAAGAGTTCTTTGTATATTTTATATAACAATACTTTATCACATATGTTTTTTGCAAATATATTCTTCAACTTGTGTCTTGTATTCTCATTCTCTTCTAAGATTCTTCTGCAGAGCAGACGTTTTTCAGTTTAATGAAGTCCAGACTTTAAATCCTTTCATAAATCATTCCCTTCAGTGTTATATCTAAAAAGTTATTGCCACATCCAAGGTCATCATGGTTTTCTCCTGTGTTATCTTCTATGGATTTTTAGTTCTATGTTTTACAGTTAGGTCTATGATCCATTTTAAGTTAATTTTTGTGAAGGGTGCAAAGTCTGTGTCTAGATTTTTTTTTTGGCATGTGGATGTCTACTTGTTTTCGATACCATTTATTAAA